ACATCCTACAAACATTTGCACCCTTTTTCACTTACTTTGCAACATTCAGTCCTCGGAAAAACTTGGCAATGTCCTGATCGCTGCTCTGCCACGGGAGTCCTCGCGCTCTTACCACACAGTTGGGGTCGACTTCATCATCTTTTGATCTGAAATCGAAAATTGAGGCAACCGTTAGACGCATTGAGCCAGGTTATCGATGTCGAAAGAAGCAGTGCAAACAGTTTAAAAATCACTTTCAAACCGATTTACCCACTTGAGATGGCAATCGTGTGTTTCCAGATTGCCACGCTCTATTTATGTTTGTTTAAGCTTTTATCGGCGCTCACTGTTTGTCTTCTTATGCAATGATCGGATTTCTTCCCTTATCAGCCACATATAAACATCTCCAGGAAGGAGGAAAAAGCGCGTGCTCTAAGCACATTTTTTTAAAGTTGAAAATCGCGCTGTTTGTGGAAACTCCAATGGCGTTCTCAAACAAGACCAGCAGTCTAGAAACTCCAAAGCAGCCGAACGAGTTTGAAAAACTCACCAGTTAAAGCAATCCACTAAATCACCGCAGTCACACACGCGCTTATCGGATTTAAATTATTATTGGAAATCAATTCTAATAAATATTTCAATCACAATAGGAACTGTTTGGTCGAGCGAACACCACTTGGAGTAATACACATTCGACAGTGAAGTTAAAGAAATGTGACCGAAGATAAAAAAAGACATCAGTGCTCTGTCCCACTCGCGCCTCAAACGGTCCACGTTGAGCACGAGAGAGACCGCTAGAGAACTACTCAAGAACTGATAATATGTCCGTTATCGCTCTAGTGGGGCAACTAATGTCAAATTGTATTGGTTTTTCGGTTTCAAGGCAGATAAGGCAGCTCGATTTGCCTTCTATAGGGAGCGAGTAAAAAAGACACTTTTTGCAATTTCAAGCAAGCGATTCGAAATCGCGGTATGCAGGTGAACCTTGCAAACGCACCCGGTATGTCCGAAACTGGATTTATCAGGAAGTCTTAAAAATTAAATGGTTATTAATCGATGTCCACTTTAATCAAATTTAACCACGCAAATGAGATCGAGAAAACTAGATGAATGAGGGCAAGTTGCGCCATTCATGTTGCGAAATTAAACTACTACGCAGAATGAATTGACCGACACTCGTAGCGCGCGGATTTCCATAGCAACCCATGACGTTCTAATTGTCTTAATCTGTCATTTACCTGCTTTTCGTTCTTTTAAACAGCAACCGGAGGTGGACGATTAAGGCCAGTTGCTCTCAACCAACTAAGCCGTGTGTTGGCTGTGCGGAAACAATAGCGGCTATCGCAGAAAAAAGTTAAATTTTACGACGCAAATAACGGCCAATTGAATGGAAAGGCGATTTTCAATATTTTATTAGTTGGCAACTTTTACGACCCGCTTGCTCAATTCCATATGATTAGCTTTTAACAGCCATATAATTTTTATCTCACTTGTGGCAGACCGGGCCAGACAGTGACAAGCCGGAGGACGTGAGGTGGCTCGACGTGTCACATGTCAAGTCAGAGGAAATGTCAACGTGAAACATGCGGTACTTACAAAATTCCGGGCTCCAGCACCAAGTTGACTGTTTCCAATTGGTCGAATGTGTGCCCTGCAAAGGAAAATTACCGGCCAATTAGAAAATCTGGAAAAAATTATCCAAAATCCTAAAATAACTACAAATTTTACAGCTACGGCGGCTAATAGATCATGTAGACACCTACCATAAGGACCAGAGAACGTGCACCTACACGAAAACGTGCCGATCGACTCAGAAAACTTCAATTTGTCAATTGCTTCACGCCAAGTACTGGCACTCTAGATAGGTGTAACACGGAAAAAAGCACACGAACAACCGCTTTTATCAGTAGAACTCAATGCACAATTCTCACGTGCACGTCGATAAGACCGAAGTGCATGGAAAAAGAGTCAAATTGCGTACAAAACCGTCGGTTCATTAAACCTGCTGACCGTTGGGGAATATGCATTTTTGCAATACTTACTAATACTGCAATACCGTTCGGCTGATTCAGCAGCTTGTTCCTACTCACCTTCAATTAGGAGCCTCTGGACGACGTTCACCATGTCTTTCGCCTCTCTGCTGTAGAATTTGCTGTCGATTTCCGGCTTCAATTGCATTACTGAGCGCTAGTTTAAGGAAAATTCGTCTTAGTGGCAACTATTTAAGCAAGTTTTTTGTTTGTCAACGTTATGTGTCGTTGTCGATTATCGCCCATAAAGAAGCAATATTTGAGCAAACTTCTCATCTTTCCCCCGTATGGGGATTTGTAGCTGTCAGCAAGAGCTGGAGCAATCATGACGTTGCCATAGAAACGCGCTAGTCCTTGTCACATTAACTAAATGACAGACTTAACATTGAGCGATACAACAAATCGAGCCTTGAAAATACGCAAATGGGTCAAACCTGAGCATTTTTTGCGAATACCTCAGTTTTGAGTTGTTACTAAAACCCAGTTGAGTGGCCAACAAAAAATCAAAACTGTTGGCGCATGTAGCGGTAATCAGGCACCCCAGGGCCATCTAGTAGGAACTAACGGAAATACCGGCACGGATTCTCACAGGCCTTTGGGTTGCCAGTTGCGTGGCCCAGATAGCGCCACCAGGCACGCGGCGGATTAATGCCCATTCAAAAGGATACGATCTAAAATGTCCGCTATACTTCCGGGTGGCTCATCGCGTCCCAGGAACGTTGCCACCTCCTTCCGCAAGTCGTGGAACACGTTGTAGTAGTCGGGTAGTTCGAACTCTTTCCGCCAGGCTTCCGGGTGCAAACATTGACGGATCGGCAATTGGCCGTCTGTCACTATTCTGAAAATTGCCCCAAAAACGCGTTTATTTTTTGTGTTCGGCTTTTTGTGCTCTACCCACCGAAAATCCGGGCTGCGCGGGTCCAACTCTAAGGAGGCGCAGTAGCCTTCGAAATCTGCCAGAGCCTCGTCCAATCGCCGATCTGCAATGTGTTTCATGTGGTCGGGGTGGGGAGTTTCGGTTTGGAGCTGCTCTCCAATTACAACGTTGCCATTGGCGTCTCCTAGGCCATTTTGACTAGGAAATCCGGTGGGTCGGATCGAGTGTTGTTGCATACCGACAATCTGAAACGACCAATATTTATCGTATCGGCAACGCTGCCAGCGAGATGACTATGGATTTGGGATAGGGAATGTTCCGTAATTGGACCAGAATATTCGAGTGTTGCCAAACAGCTCTACCAGGCAAGCGCGACAAGCTTAAATAGAAGTGCGATTATTGTTGATGGTAGTGTTTGCAAACCCGAACCCCCAAAAGGTAACGTTATTTTAGTAGTTTCTGGTTTCACTGTCATTTTCATACGAAGTTCTTTGTATGAAGCAATTCGGCAACAGTGCAACGCGGTCTCCATTGGCGATACTCACAATAAGTAATTCTTAATACCCACATGCTTCGATTCGAATTATAAATATAATAAAAAATAAATATTATTGCAAGACTTGGACAACAAACTGACAGACGGCCACATTTGCTCTAATTATGACACTTACACATTGTACAAAGTGATGAATTGACAAACTTCAAGGGATTTCAAATCAGGATATTTTTAACAGTATCTATGCTTTAAAGAGAAATTGTATATACTTTCCTGACTGTGTTTCAATTCCACGTTTCGGTGTATTTTTCCACCATCATCAGTTTTCCGTCCCGTTTTGCATGTTTCTCGAAAGCAAAATGAGCAAGAACGTGACGCTGCTTTTTTCGAAGTTTCTCAAGAACGATTCGAGCCACTGAATTCGTTTTGGCATCGTTGGATAGAGAATTGAAAAGTCCATTCAGTCGTCACAACGTGAGTGAGGAAATTCGATAAGTTTTGACTCAGAAAGCGAAATTTGAATATCAGACACTTAGGTGCAAGATTATGCCAAAATTTAATGTTTTCC